GGGGGTTGGAGCTTCGTGATCCTTGAGGTCCCTTCCAACCCAACCGTGCTGTGATGCTGTGAATGCACAGGAGGCAGTGGGTGCTGTCTGGACCCACACATCCACAGCAGTTGTAATATTAAATGTTTTTTTTCTAGTGAGAAAGCAAAAAAAAAAACCAAACTGTTTGGGCCCAGTGAGGCTGTGGATGCCTCCTCCCTGCAAGCACTGCAGGCCAGGCTGGATGGGGCTGTGAGCAGCTGCTGTGCTGGGAGGTGTCCCTGCCTACAGCAGGGGTTGGAACTACGTGATCTTTAAGGTCCCTTCCAACTCAAACCATTCTGTGGCTCTAACTTGGGTCACTTCATTGATCCAGCCTCCAGGACAAAGCCACAGGTACTGCTGTCAGTACAGCCGGGGAGGAAGTGGGAGAGTTGTCCAGGACCATCCATCACAGGACACCTTTTGGACTGTCTTCTCTGACTTGAGCATCGTTATTATTCAATTCCCATTCGTTGGGCTCCGTATGTTGATGCAGTGAGATGGAGGTCGGCCTCTTCTCTGCTAACAGCAACAGAACAAGGGTCATGGCTTCAAGATCACCAGGGGAGGGACAGGTTGGATATGGGGAACAGTTCTTTCCCCTGAGAGTGGTCAGTGCTGGCGCAGCTGCCCAGGGAAGGGGGGGTCACCATCCCAGGGGTGTTCAGAGCTGTGGGGATGTGGCACTGAGGGATGTGGGCATAGGGGGGGGAAGGGGATCTCAGGGGTCTCCTCCAACCTGAATGCTTCTCTAATTCTGTCTGTAAGGCGTGTGAAATGCCAGCAAACTCCACTGTATTGTCTGCAAGGCACCAAGTGCTGGCGTAGGCAGTAATGAGGTATTGCTTTGGGAACCTTAGCACAGAATTGTGGCATCTGCAGGATGGAATTTAAATCTTCAGCTGACCTGCAGCCCCGGAGAGTGCTGCTGGATGGGCCGTGCATCAAAAGCAGCTCAGGGGATCCGGTGCTGAGGAGGAATTACAAGTCTGGCAGCTCCGTAATTGAGGTTAATCATGTAACTGACAACCATCTACAGAACCAAATTGGCTGTACTGGGGAAAATATTGTATAATGCTGTGACTTAGCAGTGGGAATTACTGTGTGACTCCAGCACTGCGGAGCTGTGTGTTAAACTCTTCTTTATGTGGCTAAAATTGATAGAGCTGAGTGTTTCCCCCTCTGTGGGTGAGCTGGGTGTATCAGCAGAGCACAGATAATGCCACGTTTTGTCCTGCTCGGTGGGCTGAAAAGAAAACCTCTTACATTCACATTTGCAAGTAAACTTGGTTTTTAAACCAAGATTAATGTAAGAGGCTTTGTGTCCTCCAGGATTTCAGTGCTGTGTGGCTTTCCTTATAAACCATCATCAGCACGGAACAGAAAATTGAGTTAATTCTGAAATGAGCGTAATGAATGAATGTTATGACAATTCTAAATACTTTATTTGTGTTCTCAGATGGAGCCGAAGAAGAAAAAATGGAAACAGAGACAGATGGGCAGCAGCCTGAGAAGGTAAACTCAGCTCAGCATATGGTCTGATGAGGCACTTCTGACACTCACAAACCCAAATCACTGCGTTCTGAAATGCCTGATAAGAAGGGGGAAGGAGTGTGCTGGTCAGTCCTGTGAGAGCAGTGCTCCCCAGCACTTTGCAGTCCCCACTCCACTTGCAGTGAGTGCTCTGGTCTTCAGTCATTGCCACGTTTCTTTTGCCAGCATCTTGTTTCCTAGTGCTGAGAAAAGGAGCTTGGGGCTGGGAGGAAATGTAAAGCAGTCAGCATCAAATGAATCGTGGGGACTTCAGCTGCAGAAGGACGTTGGTTTGCTGTTGTTCAGGACTTGTAGTGGTCTAAGGCAGGAGTTGCTTTGAAGTCTTGCCCTGGAAAAGTCTGTCTCGTGGCAAATTGCCTTTCCCAGAGTTGAAAGCAGCTTTTGGCTCTGTCAGGATCAGAGGGGTGAGGGCCTTCCTGGGAAACGGTGAGTTGTTTGGGTTCCTTGCAGTGCTTGGCAACCATGATTGAGTGGAGCTGGGCAGACAACCTGAATAATGATTAACTGCTGTTGGAACTCTGCATTGACAATGGGAGCAATGCTTGTTCAATGTGTGCAGCTCTGGGTGCTGCTTTGGGAGCTGTTCCATCCCCTGGGTGTGGGAGATGAGGTTGGTGGACCTCAGTGGAGGTCTCTGTAGCTGGTCAGTGAAACTCCTTTTTGCAGGAAATCTCCAAGGGGAAAATGATGCTTGCAGTCTTAAGCATGAAGCTGCTGCTGATTCCACTGATGGTAGCTTAAGGCGCCCAGATTTAAATTGTTTCCCTTCCTTTTTGCAAGCATTGCTCTCCCACCAATTCCTGGGCAGAAACACGTAATTCACCTGTGGCATTTGGGCCCACAGGTCACTGCTGTGGTTACAGTTCCTCACAATTTGAAGATAACACGTGGGCAGATGAATGCATTCAAGGCCAGGCTGGATGTGGCTCTGGGCAGCCTGGGCTGCTGGTTGGCGACCTGCACACAGCAGGGCTTGGAGCTGGATGAGTTTTGTGGTCCTTTGCAACCCAGGCCATTGTGTGGTTCTGTGATTGATCCTATGCTTCTATGAATGCTGTTAACATAACAAACACGGGACAGGGTGTGAGGTGTGCCCACATCCACGTGGGGACAGCAGGGAGCAGAACATGTGCCAGCAGGTTCTGTAGGGTGTCACATCCCACCAGGTGGAGAGCTCAGCCTGGGCCGCTGGAGCTGATGCTGCAGTTACTGGCTTTATTCAGGCTGTTGGTAGGAGTGTCAAAATGGGCTTAAGCAGAAGTCAGCCTTTAAAATTTAATCCTCCTTCATGATTGCAAATCAATTTGAAAGCTGTCATCCAAGTCAACAGTGGGTGCCTCGTATAGCTCTCATTCTCCAATCCTTCATCCTGTTTAGGTTGAAAGCAAAGCAGAGAGTGAAATTGAGGAAGGTGATAAAGTACAAGAAGGAGAAAATGAGAGGAATCCAGAAAAGGAGCAAGAAAGTGAAGCGACTGCAGACACCAAACCAGGTAATGGCCCCCAGCTGTTCCTCAGGCTGTGCTAGCTTTAATAGCCTTCCTCTGAAGTGTTTGGAAAGGACCATAAACTCAACTGTGGCAGAAGTATTTCCTCCTGCACATCAGGCTGCTTCGTGCTTCAGTAGTAAACATTCTGGTTTAATTTTGCTGCAAAGCTCAGGCACTGAATTCTTCCTTGAACTCCTTTTGGAGCTCAGCTGAGCTTTCTTTCACAGCGTGTTGTGACTGGGTGGAGAAATTACAGTTGGAGAGCAAGTGTAGGTCAAAATTCTTCTGCCTGTATTGCACTCCATCACAAAGAACTCACACAACTCCACTCACACACAAAGAAATGGGGCTGCCCACTTCTGCACTTAGAAAGTAACTCGGTGGGGTGATTTCCCTGTGAGGTGCTGCAGTCTTTATTTTGATGGGCTGTTCCTCCATGGGATGTTCCTCATGTTATTTGACACATTCTCTTTACCTGGTGGATGTATTGCTCTTACCTGGGGCTTACAGCCAGCATGTTGGCACCGGGAAGAATGAGATGTGTTGGAATTCATATAGAAGGGAGAGGTGGTAATGGAGTTGGTCTGGAAATAGAGCTAGAAAAGGTCTGGTGGAAGCACACTGATGGCAGAAAAGGGATAAACAGGATGGAAACTGAAAGTGTGTGTTGGATCAGATCCTTTTAAACTAATGCTGTCCCCTCTGCAGCACTCAGATGGGCAGCAGCAGCAACGTAGGACTGGTGGGGTGTGGATGAATGGGTTGGTTTGACTCAGAGCAGTGCAGTTCCTGTCCTGGCAGCGTGCTGCTAACAAAGGGGGAATGCACGTAACGAACTTGGCCACAAATCTCTTGCAGAAGAAAAGGAGGCAGAAGAGAACAAGGAGAACGTTGATGCAAGCAAAGACAAAGAAATGGAGGCTGGGAAGAAGAAAGTGGAACACGAGATCTCGGAAGGAAATGTGGCTACAGCTGCAGCTGCTGCTCTCGCCTCAGCTGCCACCAAAGCAAAGGTTTGTTCTGCGCACAGATCCACTGCTTGGTTTGCAGTTCACATTAGATCTCTTTTTAAAATGGTCTTTTGTTCCAGAGCTGTAGAATTTCATGTTCTGATCTCTAATACCTTGAAAGGCCACAGATGCCATCTTTGATTTCTTCTGCTTGGCCTCATCAGTGAAGCTGTGTAACGTAATTCAGGCGCTGCTCGTGCCTCTATGAAGCCAGTGAGCAGCCCTGAGAAAGAGCTGAACTCTTGGCATCCCTTGTAAGGGCTTCCCTCTGCTCGGTGGCTCTCTGCTTGTGGTGCTGAAGGAAGCAGCACCCTCGAGTTGCCTTTGTGCTGTGCCATTGTGACCCCTCGTTGGGAGCAAGGAGGCGATGTGCTCAGATGCAGTGGTGCAGTGGTTTTTATGGGCAGCTGGATGAAACCTGAGCACAGAGGTGCTGCTTTCTGCTCACTGCGTGCTTTTGGCCGTCATTCGTCTCCTGTTTGTTTGTCTGCAGCCCCTTAATGAGCTGTGCTTTGCATCGCTGTCCTGGTAGCTCTTACACCCCATCATGACCAATTGATGATGGTCAAAATCTCCTTTGTTCGTTCTCTTTTTGCAGGAACCAGAACGCCTTTGCTTCTTTCACAGTATCATTTTCAGTCTCTGTTTTCATGTCACGTGGTTTCTGCCCGCCTTCCTTGTGCATCACATCTGCATCCACACTGCTTCCAGTCCCAGGCCCTTCCACCTGCATAACCCACAGGATAACCCACTGCTGCTCAGCAGCCTTGCAAGTGTTTCCAGCCGTGCTTTGCTTTAAAGCATGGAGTTTAATCTCTGCTTAATGGAAGTCTTTGTTCTCCAAATCAAACCGATATCCCACTTGCCTCCATTAGGTGCTAACGAGTGCTGGAGGGAGGAGGGACTCAGCTAATGGTGGTTTTCATTATGATCATACAGATATTCCCAAAGAATTCTAGCTTTACATTACAGGAAATAATATGTTTTAATTAGAGTGCTCGTGCTTCTGAGTAGAATTCAGATGCAGCAGGGATTTCTCCTTCCAGCTGCATTTAAAAACCCAGACAGTGTTAAGGCTCTTGCTGAGCTGTGTCTTGTCTGAGCCTAATTCAGTTCTTCACGTTAAGCTCCAGACCTGGCCATGTGAAGAGCTGTTACAAAGTTCTTGATTTGATATCAGAGGAATTATTGCAGTTATAAGGAGAACCAAGGATTGGAGGAAAGTTGTCCTATCTGGGGAGTGATGTCCAGTGCATGTGAGCATTTAGGGGAGAGCCTCTGTGTCACAGGATTGTTTGAGTGGATGGGGATGGGCTGCCCTGCTGCAGACAGAGACACCTGCAGCTCCACTGGGTGCTCAGAGCCCCTCACAGCCTCCCTTGGGGGCACCAGGGGAGGGAATATGATGAGAAAACACCCCTGGGTTGGGATGAGGCAGAGGGATCATCACCACTTACTATCAGGCAAAACAGACCAGCCACAGGTGGTGAATCATAGAGGATCAGACACACAGAACCACAGGATGGTTGGGGTTGGAAGGGATCTTAAGGATCATGTAGTTCCAACCCCCTGCTACAGGCAGGGACACCTCCAGCACTGCAGCTGCTCACAGCCCCATCCAGCCTGGCCTGCAGTGCTTCCAGGGAGGGGGAAGATTCTCTTTTCTTTACACTTACAGAGGTCTCCCAACTTTCTAGCTTGTGACTGTAGACATCTTTTACCTGACTTCTTGCTAACAGTGTAATAATTAAAATTACCTCAAGCCAGGCAAAATGTCCATCAGAGGCTCTGTGTCCCAACCATGGGAGTTTTGTCACCGACTTTTATTGCAGATCTTTTAGTTTCACTGAAGCCCACTCACTGACACTGCCCTGGTGCCATGCAGAAATGCTGTGGTGGCAGTGCCTGTTCTGAGCATGGCTTCATTTGGAGCTGTAAGCTGTCAATGAGAGCTGGTGGGCTCTTGTGAGTCTGTGTGCCTCTCCCACCTGAGATGTGCAGCATTCCATGGGCTGTCTCATGCCATGTATGAAGCTCTGTGTCTCCCATGCCAGGTGCCTGTCTGTGTGTCTGTCACAGCCTTTCAGGGAGTCTGCATTTTCCTGTTCTGTTTGGCACTGTGTACACACAGCCTTGCAGCCTGGTTATCAAAAGAAACTGGATGGGACTGTTTCGAGTTCCTTTTCATTAGTCAGGCTCTGCCCCATCCTGGGGCTGAACTGCTGCAGCAAGAGGTTGTATGGCTTTATAGTGAGGTGCTCCCCTGTTTGCATCTCCCCTGGGCATGCTGTGTCCAGAATGTTGGATGGCTAGTGAGAAATGAGCAGCCACAGTGCTGCCTGTGTTACAACCAGACCCCTATTTAAAAGCTTGGTAGTATCCTGAGGGCTTCTGATTCTGAGCATAAAGTTGATAATCTAGTGTCCTGATTTCTGTCCAGACACAGAACAGAATGGCTACAGCTAGGTGCAGGTGGGGCTGGTAACCATGAAATGCATTTAAAGCTGAGCTCTGTTTTGTTCTCAGCACCTAGCAGCAGTGGAAGAAAGAAAAATCAAGTCCCTGGTTGCTCTCCTGGTGGAAACACAGATGAAAAAGCTGGAGATAAAGCTTCGCCATTTCGAGGAGCTGGAAACCATTATGGACCGAGAGAAAGAGGCAGTAAGTAGTGGGATGCTGATCTGAAATGGGGCTCAGTACTGGCGAGACTTCATGTGTGCTAACAGCAGCTGCAGCTTTGCTCCCTGTTGTGCAGCAATTTCTACCCCAGCTGGAATTTGTTGTTCCCCTGCGCTGTGCTGTTGGAGCCCTCCCTGCTATGCAGAATCTTCCCTTTACCACAGCAGCAAAGTGGGGACATGACAGATTTGCTTCCTGTCTGTTACATGTGAGCTTTGTGCAGGCCTTGTGACCTGGCTGATAACTGATGTAAGCACTGCTGCTTCCTGGGAAGAGAACGCAGTGATGGACACCTGGCTTCCCCAGAGGGATGGGGAGCCAGTGCTGCCTGCTTCTCTTCCTGACCTGCTCTGCAGGTTTGGTTTTAAGTGTGCACCTCCTGTTTTTGGAGGATATCCTTGGAAGAATCCCCCAGGTGAGATGCCATCCAACTGCTTGCTGTAGGCAGGGATTTGTGTGAGCTGGGGAGGGCAGCAGCAGCTGCAGCACAGGGAAGCAGCGATGTCACATGAGAAGAGGGGACTGCTGGTAGCAACCATGGATGTGTCATAGAATGATAGAGTAGCCTGGGTTGCAAAGGAGCACGATGCTCATCTCATTGCAACACCCTGCTGTGTGCAGGTCGCCAACCAGCAGCCCAGGCTGCCCAGAGCCACATCCAGCCTGGCCTCCAATGCCTGCAGGGATGGGGCATCCACAGCCTCCTTGGGCAACCTGTGCCAGTGCCTCACCACCCTCTGGCTCAAAAACTTCCTCCTCATATCCAACCCAAACCTCCCCTGTCTCACTTTAAAACCATTCCCCTTGTCCCATCACCACCCACCCTCACAAACAGCCGTTCCCCTCCTGTTTATCTGCTCCCTTTGGGTACATCTGGCAGTGAGGTGGAACTGGAGGAGCTGGGCAAGCAAAGGAAAGCATTGCTGATTTGTCTTCAGTCTGGTGGGTGGTGATGTGGGGCCAGCTGGGAATGGCAGTGCCATTGGGAGTGACTGTGGTGCAGCCCAGGCTGGGATTGGTGATAGTAGCACTGTGGGGATGGCTCGTGGGTACCTGCATCTCTTAAAGTCAGGGTGCAACAGGAGGAGATGCTGTCTGTGCCTGGTGGGATCTGACTGGTGGATGCCCCATCCCTGCAGGCATTCAAGGCCAGGCTGGATGTGGCTCTGGGCAGCCTGGGCTGCTGGTTGGTGACCTGCACACAGCAGGGGTTGCAGTGAGATGAGCACTGTGCTCCTTTGCCACCCAGGCCGTTCTGTGATCCATGCAATGACTGCACACCTTCCTTCCCATTGTAGCTCCATGGGCTTTTGCTGTGCAGTTCCTCTGCAGCTATTACAAAGCTGACCCAAAGCTGCACTGTAACCAGGGAGCAGTCCATGCGTGTGTTATTCTCTCTTACCTTGCTTTCTGTCAATATGCAATTGCTCCAGATGTGATGAGGATACTGAGCGGTCATTCTAGGAGTTGTCACGTTTGCCCTGCCATGTGAGTTTAATGGAATTTACATCCTGGCCGTGGCATTAATCACACTGATGGGGTTTGACAAGCTGTGGTCTCCTGTTGCAGCAGAATGTCAGCAGGATTGGCTGGATTGCTCAGCATCTTCCACCACCTCAGCGCAGTGTCTGCCCCGACACTGATTGGCAGTGCTGGAAATGGACCTAACTATTCTGAAAAGGTTCTCCCTGGCTGTATTTGGGGATATGTTCTATTAGTGACAGGGTTTTTCCTCTTTGAGGCATGTGACATTTTCCTTCTTAAAAATACACAGACAGTTTTTTTTCCTCCTTGGCTTTCTGGCAGCTAAACGTGGTCTTTTCACCTGTCACTGTGGATATTGGGTGGAACAATTAAAGCAAAAAAGCCCTTAGTGCTGTTGCACGCTGTGCAGATGCCTTTATTTGCTGCTGTGTTACAGCAAAGATAAGTGTTGGAAGAAATGTGTGCTGCAGACTGCGCAGTGGAAGGCGATGGGCAAAACAAATTGACTCAGTGTTTAAGCTGAAGCAATTTCAGTGCTGCCAACTCTGATTGTGTGCAATGGGAATCCTGTTGGTGGGAGCCTCGTTGACCCAGAATTCATAATCGCACACGAATGCCTTTCTTTACCATTCCTGTATGGGGAGGAGTTACTTTCTGAAGAAGGAACTGTCATACAGACTGTTGTGTGAGCATACATATGTACAGAGTGCTTGTAAGAGTGCCTCTAATGGTGAATCTCTTTGCAGCAGCACCGAAATGCATTGCCACAAACCTGAGGGCTGTGGGGAAAGTTGTGCCCATGGCTGCGTGCCTGAATGTGAGCTGTAAGGAACGGGGTTATGAGGGAGCTGAGCTCTGTGTGCTCGTCCTGCTGGGCGGCCCTGCTTTGCTCCTGCAGGTCCTGCAGCACACAGAAGCAGACTGCTGGGACCTTCCCACTGAGAAGTGTGCTGGTACCAATTGCCTTTATGCTGCTCCAGCCTTCCACTGGCTGTCTGCAGTGCTGTGCTGAGCTCGTGGGCATGGATGCAGGAAGGACTGGGGGTCCTGGTGGATGAAAAACTGACCATGAGCCAGCAGTGTGCTTTGCAGCTTGGAAAATCAATGGTATCCTGGGCTGCATCAGCAGAGGGGAGGCAGCAGGGACAGGGAGGTGATTGCCCCTCTCTGCTCTGCTCTTGTGAGGCCCCACCTGCAGTGCAGCATCCAGGTCTGGGGCCTCCAGTACAAGAAAGACAGGGAGCTGTTGGAGAGGGTCCAGAGGAGCCATAAAGATGCTCAGAGGGCTGCAGCACCTCCCTACAAAAACAGGCTGAGGGAGCTGGGCTTGTTGAGCATGGAGAAGAGAAGCTGCGGGGTGACCTGAGTGCAGCCTGCAGTGCCTAAAGGGAGCCTGCAGCCAGGAGGGGAGTCAGCTCTTGGCAAGGGGAGATGGCAGCAGGACGAGGGGAATGGTTTGGAGCTGAGGGAGGGCAGCTGGAGGTTGGATGTGAGGGGAAGTTGTGTGCTGTGAGAGCGGTGAGGGGCTGGAACAGCTGCCCAGAGAGGCTGTGATGCCCCGTCCATCCGTGGAGGTGTTGGAGGCCAGGTTGGATGGGGCCCTGGGCAGCCTGGGCTGCTGTGAAATGGGGAGGTTGGTGGCCCTGCATTGGTGGGGGGGTTGGAGCTTCGTGATCCTTGAGGTCCCTTCCAACCCAACCATTCTGTGATGCTATGAGGAGCCTAACACAGAAGTGGTTGATTGGGCTCTGCATGGTTTCGGCACAAGCCTGCATCATAACTTGTATGAAGGAACCTTTTTCCTGTGTCCAACCATCTTTTCTGACAAACCACGGCAGGGTAGGGTGCCATGGAGAGAGCACAGCAGCAGTGTAAGTGAACATAACAAGTGTGTGTTAGCAGTGCTTTGGTCTTCAGGGTCACTTGCAACAGTTCCTTTCTGAACCTCCTGCCGCCTACCGACTCTGTTGCCATATATGCACCATTACACCATTGGTGTCTGTGTCTCCTCGTTTCATCCAGTCCCTCCCCCTAACCTGTCCCATTGGGCAGGGACAAAGGGCTCATGGCAGCGTGACAAATCGCATTGTTGTCCCTGTGCTCTGACAAACAGCCCCCGACCAGCAGGATGCATTATTCATCAGCTCTGTCCCCATCTGGTTCTGCTGCTGAATGCACGCTCTGTAGTGGAATTTGGTTCTCATCCGTGTTTTGTCAGCACTCACACGGGCAGCACAAAGCGTGGGGGGCTCTGGGATTCCTGGAGGGCATCCCTGAGATGTGCAGCTCCTCGGCAACACTGCCTGGATCGGTCACAGAGTGCAGTGCAGCACCTCTCAATCCTGCTGCATGAGTAGCAAACAGAGCTGGTTTCTTAACTGTCATAGAAATGCATTATGATTCTTAATTAAGAGTCATAGAATCACAGAACAGCCTGGGTTGCAAAGGAGCACGATGCTCATCCAGCTCCAACCCCCTGCTGTGTGCAGGTCACCAACCAGCAGCCCAGGCTGCCCAGAGCCACATCCAGCCTGGCCTTGAATGCCTGCAGGGATGGGGCATCCACAGCCTCCTTGGGCAACCTGTGCCAGTGCCTCACCGCCCTCTGGGGGAAAAACTTCCTCCTCATATCCAACCTCAACCTCCCCTGTCTCACTTTCAAACCATTCCCCTTGTCCCATCACCACCCACCCTCACACACAGCCGTTCCCCTCCTGTTTATCCGCTCCCTTCAAGCACTGAAGGCCACCATGAGGTCTCCCTGCAGCCTTCTCTTCTCCAAGCCAAACCATCCCGGTTCCCTCAACCTTTCCTCAGAGAGCTGCACGGTTTCTGCTGGAACTGCAGCAGTGCTGGATGCTCTGTGCAGTTTATGATCAAGTAGTGTGTTAATAGCAGTACTGAAAGAATCTCTAGGATGAAATGAGGCGAGTTCATTGGGTGCAGCTGGGAAATGGCCTGCGCCCACCGCTGCACACAGCACAGGTTGTTTCTGCTCCCAGCTGCCCCGTTGAAAGGCTCTCAGTTTGCTGTTCTGACCCATTCCCTTTGTGTTTCTCCCCCCAGTTGGAGCAGCAGAGGCAGCAGCTGCTGACGGAGCGCCAGAACTTCCACATGGAGCAGCTGAAGTACGCTGAGCTCCGCGCCCGGCAGCAAATGGAGCAGCAGCACAGCCAGAACGCCCAGCAGCCTCACCAGCACTCCGCACCCGCGCTGAACCCGCTGGGCACAGCAGCTCACCAGGGCCTCCTGCCCCACCAGCAGCCCCCGCCGTACCCAATGATGCACCACCAGATGCCTCCACCTCACCCCCCCCCAGCCAGGTAAGGATCCAAGCACGGCGCTGCCGTCGCCACCCTGTGAGGGATGGAAGGGAGAAGGGCAGGGGGTCAGGTCTCTGTTGCCGGTGTCGGTTGGAGTTGGGGCGCATGGGATTGCATAGGAGCCCCGCTGTGCTGCCGTGGGTGATGGGTGCTGCCTGGCCGAGCCACAGGCTGTTTCCAAAGCTCTGAATGGAGAAAAACAAAGGAAGTAAAAACAGAGCTGCCACCGAGCATCATTGACAAATGTCTCTCAGACTCTGTATTTCCTTAAGACTTTTTCATGCCAGGCCATCTCTGCTCCTTCAACAGCAATCATTCACTCCGATTTTCTCCAGTTCGTGACCTGTCTGATCAGGTAAAAGCTTAAGGGAAGGGACACGAGCTGAGGAGCAGAGCAGGCAGCTCCTGAGGCACTTCTCCATGGCAGGAGGTGTGACTGATGTGCTCCATGCCTTCCTCAGAGCATCCCAGCTCCTGCCTCATGGCTGTGCTGCTGTCAGCTGGGAATCACAGAGCCGTGTTGGTTGGAGGAGTGGCTGGAAGCACAGCAGCAGGGCAGGTTGTGCCATGGGGGTTTGGATGTCTTTGGGGATGAAGATATTCCTAACATTGAGGGGTGGGGAAGCAGAGTGGCCAAGTGATCGTGCAGGACCAGCTTGGAAAGCAGCATTCCTGCCATTTATTCCAAACTGCGTGTGCTTCACTGCAGAACAGGTAGCTCTGCTTCTAAGAAACAAAGCTGCAAAGTTTTACCTTTATTAATGCAGTTCTGCCTTAAAACCATTCACTGTGAAAAGGGATTGGGACTGTCCAGTGTTGTACTTGTGCTGGGAAGGAGCTTATGGGAATTAGAAGGGAAGGCTTTGCAATGCCTGCTGAGTGCTGCTGAAATCATTTCAAGCAAAAAAAGCCACCTGGAATGGCTGAACCTGGTTGGGTGGCAGGGAGGGAGCACAGCTTCTGTCAGTTTTCAGCTGCTGGAGCAAAACCATTCTAAAAGATGACCGGTGGGTTATTAATTAAACATCTTTCCTATGGTTTTGTGATAAAATAGGCTCTGGGTTGGATTGGAGTGATGTAGTGCCTGGTTGGTCTTGTTTTTTATGCCGTATTGATTACTTAGTTTGTTCATTGAGTGCAATGAAGAACCATTCTGTGCCATGGAGAAGGGGCAAATTGAAGGTGGTTTGTAGGAGGGGGCCATACAGTGTGCCATCAGACCAGCTCTCACAGGCTGCTGTTGAGACTGAAAGCATAACGAGGTAATATGCTTTGTTGTGCTCATTAGGGGGCCAGTAAGGCTTTGTTTCTAAGATGCTCACATCCTCAGTTCACATCATGCCTTATCACTTCAGCCCCACCAGAGTCATCCAGGCCCTCCGTGCCTGCAGCAGCCCCTGCAGTGTGCATTGCAGGGAGTGCAGTGCTGTTAATGCTTCCTCCAGTGAGTTCAGCTCTTGTGTGCTGAGCCAGGCTGGGGTTGTGCCACAGGAGGGACCCTGCACTCTGCAGATATGGTGACCCAGAAGCTCTCCTGGCTTTCTGTTTGGCTACTTGGAGTTTTCCACTGTTCAGCTTTCCTTCCTCACCGTCAGAACATCACGGTGTGGTGCTGTGCAGATGGTGCATGCACAGCCATGATCTGCAGCAGCCCTGCTGGAGCCCTCGGGCACTCAGCAGCTGTGTTCTGCACACACACACACACACACAGCCCATGGGCTGCATGCATTAGGAAAAATAAACAGCCCCATCACATCAGATTGCTCACGTTCTGTCTGTGATAAAACAGCAGAGCTGCTATCACAGTGTGTGCATCTTCCTCCCTTATGCTTTCCTGGGATGACTGTGATGTATTTATTTGTGTCAGTCTTGGCAAGTGAGCAGTAAAATAGTTTAATGCATTGATCAGGAGTTGGGGCTCAACTTTGGATCTCACTGGGGGCACCAGGCAGGATGCTGGCATGGGTTTGGGTCTCAGCTTTGGGTCTCAGCTTTGGGTCTCAGCTTTGGGTCTCAGCGTTGGGTCTCAGCGTTGGGTCTCAGCTTTGGGTCTCAGCTTTGGGTCTCGTTGGTGTCAGCAGGCAGGATGCTGGTGTGGGATTGGCTCTCCTTCGAGTCTCATGGCTGTCACCAGGCAAGCTGCTGGCCTTAAGGGTGGTGAAAAGTGGAGCTGTTGATTCATCAGACTGTGAGCAAAATGCAAAGTCAAATGTCTTTACAGTGATTGATGTAAGCTGAAGAGATGGCAGGAAACAAAGCAGAAGAAGGATCTGAGAGGCGTTTATAGATGGAAAGAGGGAAAGCTGCTGCTTACAGCATGCCTGGGTTGGAGGCAGAAGCAGGCTGGGCTCAAAAACAAACTTGCCCCATCTTTCTGTTTCTGGCCTTGCAGTCGGTCACGTCATAGGAGCTCGAGGCTGACTTCTCTTTGTGCACAGTCTGGTTGTCCGAGGGGGGCCCAGCAGAGCTGTGTACACGTGGTGCTGGTGGTGCAGCATTCATGCATGAGTCTGGGCTTGTGAGCTGTAGCAGGAGATTGGGGCAGGCGGGCTGAGAGCTCTGCCTTGCTGTGTCACACAGAAGCAGGGTGTGCAGGAGGACCCTCCAGGCTGCTTTGGGTGCCAACGTGGGCTGCTGGCTGCTGCCTCCTTCCCGACTCACACCGTCCTGTCATCTTCATGGCTGCGGAGCTCCTGGGAGTGTGGGCAGCTCCCAGCTCCTCCCAGGGATGCATTATTGAAGGTGTGTCAATATTTCAGCACAGGAAGGATGTGGAGCGGGTCAGGAGGAGGACATCAGGATGCTCAGAGGATTGGAGCAGCTCTGCAAAGGAGAGCTGGGAGCTGACTGTGTTCAAACTGGAGGAGAGGAGGCTCTGAGGTGACCACGTTGTGGCCCTTCCAGTACATAAAGGGAGCTTGTAAACAGGAGGGAGTGACTTTTTACACAGGCAGATAGTGACAGGACAAGGGGGAACAGCTTTAAGCTAAAGGAAGGAGATTTAGGTGGGATGTGAGGAGGAAACTCTCTACCCAGAGGCGGAGAGATGCTGGCACTGCCCTGAGCGGTGGGTGCCCCATCCCTGGAGGTGCCTGAGGTCGTGGCTGGGCCCTGGGCAGCCTGAGCTGGGGGCAGGGGTTCCTTTCAGCCCAACCACTCTGTGGTTCTGGGATCTTGAAGGACCCTTCCTACCCACTGTGTTCTGTGGTTCTGTGCTTGGAAGGTTACTTGCTGTGCTGCACAAGGGCTGCCCTGGCTGGAGTAGTGCATCTAGCTGCTTGTACTGGGTGTGCATGGTCACAGAAATGCAGCAGTGACCACGGATGGGTCTGGAGCCCAGCACAGCCATCAGAGGAGTCAGATCCATCAGCACCAAGTGAGTTACACTGGAGGGAAGTGACAGAAACACGGCATGCAAGCGAAGTGGAAATCATGCCTTTCTCCAGAGATGTGATGCTAAGTGAATTAGCATGCTTAATTATTCACAGTTCTCAGCTGGGAGTCGCCTGCTGCAGGGTGTGCTCAGTGCTGGGCACCTGATGGAGGCCATGGAGTGGGCCCAGAGTCCAGGGAAAGGAGTGCAGGTTGGGGTTGGGGTTTGGGATCTCAGAGGTCTTTTGCAGACCTTTCTGTTTCACCAACAAAGCTGCTCAGGGTTCAGCACTGCAGTCCCCCTTTCGGAGCTCATTGAAGCCTCACCTGATTGTCATCATCACATTCTGGTGAGCTTC